ATATCGTAAGGGAAGTTGTCTTGTTTTGGTGGGCGAGAAGACGGGTTGGATAGTGGAAATGTAGTTGATTTTATGAATGAAATATATCGAACCAATCGCGTCATTGCTTCACGATTGGTTCGAGAGAGTTGACCGTCGTGAAATATTCACATAATAAGGAAGAAATAAATCATTTCAGAAGCGCACCCAAATATTTTAATCGCTTTTATTGTTTGGTGGATTTTTAGAAACGCCATTCGAATTTGACGAAGATGAAGTGCCGTCAATATGGCAGAAAGATATCTGGCAACTGAAATGTTTACCGTATTTTGATGAACTCGAAAAAGAAGCTGATGATCATTTTAGGTGAGCCGTGTGAATGCATTTGTTGGATCGCGGAATTTGGTTCGGTTGAATTGAGAAATTTCTTAAGAGAATATATTTACTGTGAATTTATTGTTTAATGGGTGTTTGTGTTGGTGTGATTTCCGAGGAGCGAAATCTGAATCGTTTGGATATGAAACAATGTTAGAAAGTTTGAAAGATATTCCGGAAGCATATGTAAAAATTTTTTTAGACATATAAAAGCTGGTCTCGCACATGCTGTAATACTGCGCGATACACGGCCTGGACTGGTACATTGGATTTGTGAACTTGACAAGTAAGATTTTAGGGTTTTGATGTTGTGGGCAATGTTTTGGTTTTGAAATGTTATGTTCGTAATCTTCACTAGGTATATTTGTTGTGGTCAACTTGATTGTGGTCGTTGTGGTTGATGCAAAAATTTTATGTATAATTGATGTTCAGTTGTAGAAGTTTAATATTGACAAAAGAATCTCTCTTTTGACGACTGCGTTTTAGTTTTGTGGGCGATTGTATATGATGATGCAAATGATGTGTTGATCATTCAGATATATGAATTTGTATTCGAGAAGATTCACGAAATCGGATCATATTCAATTGGTAAAGTTGGTTTATTCGTGTTTGACGATGAAGAAGGCCGATTTTCGACTTGTAAAAATCTGTGCGCACTCACTGTCGAATCTTCTTTTGTGAGTGATAAAGCAGTGTTTTGTTATTTCCTCTTTTAGCTTTCGAAAATGTTTTCGAGAGTCAGATTTATATTTGGGCATCGGAGTTGTTGTTTGAATATTAAGGTGATGGAACACTTTTTCGTGAACTTGAAATTTTTGTTGAGAATTTTAGAAGAGGAAATTTTGTGTGAGTAANATGAGTTGCCCATTGGGAATTGCTGGAGTATGGGATGGGAATTTTGGGGTTTCGGATGAGTTGCCCATTGGGAATTGCTGGAGTATGGGATGGGAATTTTGGGGTTTCGGATGAGTTCCTAGCGATTTTGTTGCAGTCAAAGTAGGATATTTCAGCAAAAAAGAGTTGTTATCGCGCGAAGATGTAAAGTTAGATTGGAGACCACTGCATGATATCTATGTGGAGGTATCGTACAAAAGTCTTGAAGAGGATGGTCTTTTGTTGCTTCCGGATGGACTGAAAGGAGCACTTGAACAGGCGAGTTGGATCATAGTTTTTTTTTGGGTTTCGGATGTGTTTTGTGCATTTATAGATTATGATTCGTTCTCGATTGTTTCATGCTGATTATTTGCAGTATTTCAGAGATTCATGGTCGAAATTCTCCTTTCAAAACCTCTCAGTTCATATTTTAGATCATATTTCATATTTCCAATCATGAACCCATTCATATTTTAGGTTATAACGCATTGTCGAACGTATTTTCCACTTCAAGCAACACGTGAGATTCTGGACGAAGTAAGTTGATCTGATCTTGTTGATTAATTCAAGATGCTCTGTTCTCATTTGCAACTTCTTCTGATTTCTCTTTGGAACGTTCGTTTTGATTGATGGATAGTTGATATGGTTTTCTGAATTGCTTGTTTTCAAGCTGTTTGAGGAGCGATTTTAAAAGAAAACTATGGTAGTGGGATACAAATGTGGTGTTGAGTTTGTATTGACTAATGAGTGGAACTTGCAGGTGCGACCGTATATGTGTCCGTGGGATGAAAGTATGACACGGGCGATGACACTTCTAAATCTGTTCCTGCCGACTTGTATGAAGGCGAGTGATCACGAGCAGTTCGGTGCGGTGT